GTGAATCCCAAGTCTCTGTCTCTACTCAGATTCATTTTGAGGTCATATCCTTTTCTTTAGACCAGATCCAACTTTTGATTATGGATCTTTAAGAGGAAACATTAGAAAGGTTCCCTTCTCCTTCACTAACAGGGAAACAAGCAGCCCTCCTGTAAACAACCCTTTTTGCCACCTGAGCTGGAGCTTCTTCAACCACATCTTCCTCCATGTCCTGCACAGCTGTCTCCCCATCTGTGACAGAGAGCTTAACAAAGTCTCCATTCTACAAACGCCTAACCTACCTCCTACCTCTCATTACAGGCCAAACTCATAGCAATTCAACCTGAGAATGAATAGGAAGACATGCAGGGGGTAGAGTCTGACAGCACAGGGCATGTGTTTCTGATTATAGATCTCATGTCATTCATCCTAAAGAACAATCAGACCCTACTCCCTCTGAGTAGTGAGCCTAAAGTTGCAAAAAAAANCCCATGATAAGAAGTGGTACCTCTATCAGGGGTACCTCTATCTGTGCCATGAGGAAAGCTGCACCTAGGAACCACTGGTCAATGAATCCCTAAAATAGTGATTTTGGTGAATAATTAATGATCAGTGGTGAACTTTTGCAAAGCGTCTTCCAGACAAACCACTTGTGCCTTGTGTGACTGAACCTGTTTTCTTTCCCTTGCAGGCAAAATCAAGGACCTATTTCCTAATGGATCTCTTACCTACCTCACCAAACTGGTTCTGGTAAATGCAGTCTATTTCAAAGGGCAGTGGGCCCAGAAATTTTATAAGGAAAATACTAAAGAGGGAGAGTTTTGGCTGAACAAGGTATTGTCTATATTTTATTTGTATAATGTAATGCAGCTATCCATTGAATGTTAAATATAAACACATCCAATGAAATGTACCACTGCAAATACAAAATAGAATTTGTCGTGGCTCTTATTTTGTTGTATTTGTATAATGTAATGCAGCTATCCATTGAATGTTAAATATAAACACATCCAATGAAATGCACCACTGCAAATACAAAATAGAATTTGTCGTGGCTCTTATTTTGTTTTTTTTTTTTTTTTAGCTTTATTTAGTTAGGAATACTTGAAGAAACTCTTGTCTTTAATTCACAAAATTCCTGGGTTATTTCAGAAAGAGAAGAATGTGTTTAATATCTCAATAATATTACCTTTTTTATCTTATGTCTCACTTGGTATTTGTTTGACACATTAATTTATTGCAGGATACAAGAAAACCTGTGCAGATGATGAAACAAACACTGTCCTCTAATTTTGCCGTACTGGAGGATGTGCAGGCCAAGATCCTGGAAATGCCATATAAAGGCAGAGATTTAAGCATGATTGTGCTGCTGCCAAATGAAATAGATGGTCTACAAAAGGTAAAATCTTGCGTCTACGATTCTTCCTCTATTGCTCCATTTTTCCTACAATACCAAGACTAAACAAAGCAATAGTTTTTAGGCCAAGGTCCCTCAAAATAACAAGAACTTCAAAGCAAAAAACAGTGATTCATCTTTGTATTACAAATATTTTAGTATAGGGTCAGACATACACTGAAGGCTTAATTAATTCTTAATTAAGCAGCACTATATACATTGGATAGCAGTTTAATGGTATGCAGTAATAATTGATTGTTAATAATAAACTTGACTGAGAGAAATATATGGCAATGTGGGAAAAGTTTACAAATACATCAAACAAGAAAATAATAAAATTGCACCATAATTGCAGTATGTAATAAATAATGCATACAGGAAAATAAGAAGAGCCTATTCAAACTTGATACATATAATAAGCTGTAGGCTGATGGCATAAGAAATAGTGATATATAGTTTATTTTGTACAAAATAATTTAATGTAATGATTCTGTTCCTGCATATACATGCATATATGTACTCAAATAAATGTACATATATATTCAGGGCTATTATTTTTGCTTATTAGAATAATATCTAATAAACTTAGCCTTCTGTATATCATTGATTGCTAAAATATAGATTTCCCACATATTCAATTCATCGTTAAGATGTGTTAGAGGTTTATAGTTAATCATGTCCGTTTCATTTTTTCTATTTTCATAGCTTGAAGATGAAATCACTGCTAAGAAATTAACAGAATGGACGAGCTCACAGAATATGAGCAGGAGAGAAGTGTATTTATACTTGCCTCGGTTCAAAGTGGGAGAGAGCTATGACCTCAAAGCCATCTTGGAAGCCATGGGGATGGTGGATGCCTTCAGTTCAGATAATGCCAACCTCTCAGGCATGAGTGAGGTTCCGAATCTCGTGGTGTCTAAAGTCCTACACAAGTCCTTTGTGGACGTCACTGAGGAGGGAACAGAGGCCACAGCTGCCACCGGCGTAGAAGTTGCTCAAATAATATCTCCACGTTCTGAACCGTTCCATTGTGATCACCCTTTCCTATTCTTCATCAAGCAAAATAAGACCAACAGCATCCTCTTCTTTGGCAGAGTCTCTTCCCCTTAGATATGATTAACCTGTCACTACTTTTGGGAAAAGATCACAGAGTTGCTCCAGAAAATCGATTGCTGGAAGCAACAGGTTCCTTTAACTCATTTTCCTTTCCAATCTCATACAAATCACCAATAATTTAACTGTTGAAATAATATGTCTATCTCTTTCTACACATACATATAATAAGCCTACTTTTTTCCCCATAAAGATTCTCTTCAGAACAAAATGTTCAACTTCAAGATAAAATAAAATGATATTTCAATACTGTTATCTTCTAAATTTGATATACTGTTTGTGACCTGTTTTAAGTGAATCAAAGCAAATTATACTTTATCGTCAAACTTATTAACCTAGACAACCACATTTCTTTGAATTTAGGCAATATCTGGAACCCTCCATATATTTCTAATTTTGCTATTCTATAAAATGCATTGCCAATAAAACAATAACTTACCCAAGTTATTTGTTGCTTTACCTTTTTTCTTTTCAACAAAGCACAAGTAGCAAACATACACAGGAAAGATAATTTACAAATATATTAATCATATAGAAAGAAAAATTCAAAACAAAAGTAGGGCATGATGAGTCTGGACATGAAGGGTCTTATAACCCACATTAAGAACTTTTTATTTTATCCTAAAAGAGGTAAGAAACTCATTACAGGCTTTGATTGTTTTTCAAAGAGGGGAATGAAATCATTATATCTGTATCTTGAAAATATATCTCTGGCTACTCTGTTATAAAAGGATAAGAGGAAAGAACAGTATGGATACCGTGAGATAAATTAGAAAACCATCAGAGTTTGGGGGGTAGATATGAAGAGGAAGAAATACCCTATGAGAATTATTTAAAAACTAACAGCCACAAAATTCTAGCAACAGATTAGAAATCGAGGCAAGGAAGGGTAGAAGCCAAAAAAAGACACCAAAATTTCTGGCCTAACAGTTGGATGGAAGAAGATTTGGTTTGGAGAAAATAGAAGATCATGGATTTATATTTATACTCTTTGAATATGAGATTATTTTGAGACCCAAGTGGATTTATCTAGCAGGCACATAAATATATGAGTCTAGAGCTCATAGATGGGATAGAATATGAAGCTCTAAGTTTGTAATGCTCAAAGTAAAAATTTTAGAGTTACTAGGATAAACATGGTAATTATTGCTAAAGGCAAGGAAATGACCCTAGGGAAAGAGGATGAAGTGAGAAGAAAGGAGGGCCTAGAACTGGCGTTGAAGTACACCAATATGTGAATGTCAGGAATTGAAAGTTTGTATTTTCTAGAAGGTAGCTTTTCTTAGAGGTCATATTTGTTCCACGTTCTTTTCACTCAGTATTGAATTCCAGCTGGTCTCAAAAAACCATTAATTTTGGAAGATTTGAGCAAGGTCAAAATTTTCTTCAGTGGAATTCAGCTGTCCAAGAATAGAGCAAGGGAAGCAGATGCTTCACCACCTAAGTACGAGATTTGGTCAACTTGCCTTTTCTTTTTTTCTTTTTTTTTTAATTAATGTTATTAATTTATTTATTTTCGGGATAATTAGTCTATTAAGAATTACATGAGAGAATTGACAGACTAGCTAGAGAAGCTTCACCACCTAAGTACGAGATTTGGTCAACTTGCCTTTTCTTTTTTTCTTTTTTTTTTAAATTAATGTTATTAATTTATTTATTTTCGGGATAATTAGTCTATTAAGAATTACATGAGAGAATTGACAGACTAGCTAGAGAATGGGTAACATAAATAATCATGCAGTAAAGGAGACAGAGGAAGGAAGACACGCTGTTGTCTTGAAGAACAGAAGCACAAGATTTCATGAGGTTGAAGAAGAGATACATTGACAGTGAGTTTGTGAGCAATACGAAAGGATCAGAAGTTTAAGCCAGGACAGGAGATTTTGAAGTATACTTTAAAATGGAAAATGTTAAGTAATAATGAAGCTCAGATTGTGTCAAATAGTTGTGAATTAATTTCTAACGATTCAATTAAGTTGAAAATGGTAGAGTTT